TTTCCTTTCCTGAAATTTCCTTTCCTGAAATTTCCTGAAATTTCCTTTCTTGGAATTTCCTTTCCTGAAATTTCCTTTCCTGAAATTTCCTGAAATTTCCTTTCTTGGAATTTCCTTTCCTGAAATTTCCTTTCCTGAAATTTCCTGAAATTTCCTTTCTTGAAATTTCCTTTCCTGAAATTTCCTGAAATTTCCTTTTTTGAAATTTCCTTTTTTGAAATTTCCTTTCCTTTCCTGAAATTTCCTTTCCTTTTCTTACTTGTCCTTACATCCTGCACCAGAGGTGGGCATCGTGCACTCCTGACACATTGTAAACACCAAGTGCTGGCTTGGCTGCCTCCTGCATGGCAGGTCAGGGGAGGGTGAGAACATGGATACAAGGAACAAAAATAAAAATCTGGGGAAGGAAATCATTTCAATGCAGTGCCAGCAAGGAATGAGAGCTTCCTTCCCACAGCTCCAGTTCTGTCCCTGTGCAGACCCAGGCAGTTCCCTTCCTGGCTGAGCTGTCCCACCTCTGTCCCCTCCAACACAAGGCTGGCAGCACCAACAAGTCACGCTGAGCTCGAGGGGGGCACAACACAAACACCTTAAAACTCCCACTGAGCACTTCAGTGAGTTGTTTATATCAACCCTCCGCAATGCACGTGTTCACACACATAAACAGAACTGCAAATTGCACAACAAGGTGTGCTTTGCCTCTTAGAAAACCAGGACTCGAGCAGCAAGACAGAAACCCGCAGCAAATCCCGGAAGGAAAGGACAGCTTTCACTAAGGAGCAGCTGCAGGAGCTGGAAGCTGAATTTGCCCACCACAACTACTTGACAAGGCTCAGGAGATACGAGATCGCCGTGAACCTGGACCTCACCGAAAGACAAGTACTCTCCAAACCCTTGTCTCCCCAGCTCCTTCTTCTTCCCCCACAAAAAAACCTTCTCCCTAACACTCCCACACACTTCTCCCTCACTTGAGGGTGTGTTTTGCAGTGGTACAGAGGTATTTTAAAACAAAGCCTCCACGTTCTTTTCGAACACACTTGTTACAAATTTCTGTGAGTAGTTAATACATTTAATTATGTTTCTCTAAATTAAAAATAGATTTGGTGATAACTGGCCTCTTGCAAGCTGCTGCTAACCACCATTCATTGGTACATATTGTTATATCAAGGTTTACATATGGAATATGGATACCACCTTAGGCTGCAATTAACAGGAAATTATTAGAATTGTATATTTGACATGTGAATTCTTCATGGGTGGTATTTTGAGGTGACAAGGAAAGATAAAAATGCAGAGTTTTGTGGATAAATGTATTTCTGGTCTCTCATGGTCATCTCAGTCCAGGTTTCCTTTTCAAAGCCTGGTGAACAATAGACGAATTGCTCAATTATGTGAAGGAAATTAAAATTTCTGATGCATTAGATTGGATGGCCTAGATGTTAAAAATACACAAGAGGCACTGTGCCTGTTGTGTTGACATGCTTATTTGACATGAAGACAGGTTCTAGGCAAAGCACATTTATTACCTTCGAGGGTTTCAGAGGAACTTCTGTCTGGAGCAGTTTAGAAAGAATTGTTCCCATCTGTGTTAGAAAGATGAATTGCTTAAACTTGCAAAGTTCTGTTCACCTTTTCTTCTAGAATTCCACAAATATGCATAGCTCTGCTTATACAGCTCAGATTGAGACAGGAAGTAATTATTTCCTCTTCATCACCCAGGTCAAAGTATGGTTTCAAAACAGAAGAATGAAGTGGAAACGTGTTAAAGGTGGGCAACCAGTGTCCCCACACGAACATGACACAGAAGATGTGGACTCTGCTGCCTCACCCAGCTCTGACTAATCCTTGCAGCAATGGGAGAGGAGTCTGGAGAAAGTAATGGATCAGAATGTGGATGCAACACTGCTTCGGGTCAGCTACTCAAAGAGATCATCCTGCTTGCAAATCCTGTAGCCCACAGTCTTTAAAAGGTGTAGGGTGCTTTATGTTGCAGAGGTAATTAAGGAGCACAGCGGGGAAAAGCCAAAGGAGGGCATGATTTTGATTTTTGTCTCTGGAACTGTCTTACTACCACAGCTGTGTCTACAGAAAAAAAAGATAACATTGAGTATAAAACAAGAGTAATGTTGTCCAGATGCTCAGACATTCAGAAAATACAGGTTGTCAGTCAGAGAGTGATAACACAGATGTGTTCTCATCCAGTCTTTCCCTGGTCACATCTATTAGGGTGCATTTGGACTTGGCAATACACATTTGACTTGTGCCTTACTTTGAGAGAAATAAATACTTTGACAGTCACTGATTCTTCTTGCAAAATGAATTGGACACCTGCACAGCTAGGCAATAAGATTACAAAATAAAATATGAGACCAAAAACACATATACACAGAATTCTGCTTCCCAGTTTCAGAGGAGATGGCTTTCACACTGACAGTCCAACAAGGCAGGTGCCTTGTTGATGGCAGCAATTTGCAGAGGGAGATTTCTTCCAAGCTTACTGTAAATCCTGAAATTAAACTCCTAGATCTCAATTTCAAATATTTTTTGAAGCAGTCATCACGAAATACCACAGCAGGCACAGCAGAGATGGAACTCTCAACACAACAGCTATCACTGTTGTGTTTTCCAATAAACAGCACCACCAGAAGTTTTAAGAACACTTAAGAACACTTCCACTTGAAATTATCCTCCCTTTCAACCAAAACTTATAGTATATCGAGTTATGAAGATTTAGAAAAGCACAGTGCCTGTTTCCATTTCTTCTATCTTTTTGTTTAATGTACTAATGCCATATTTTAAACAGAATTTTACACTAGCACACCACAACGTGACTATTGAGAACACTGAAACAGTGGTTGAAATATTTGAAAAGTAACCATTACAGCAGCTATGACACACTGCCTTCCTCTCACCTTGCTCTGATACATATTTATTGTGGTTGCCTGTAAACTGTTGATCTGCTGGGTACAAATTTGTATATCTGAATGATATGTTTATAAAGCTATCAGTGGTAATTCCACTTGTAAAAAAACTCAAAACAGATAAATATTGTCTTTTTTTTTAAAACAGAGGTGTTGTATTCTTTTCAAAGAGCTGATTACTGTATCTACTAAGAAGAAACATCCATTACATTCCTTCTTAACATTTCCAAACTCTGACTGACAGACGAAAAAACGAGCAGTTTAGAGTATATATTTGTGCAAAACCAACTTAAAAAATAATTATTTCTAAAAGAAATAATTTAAAAATAAAGAAGCTTGAGAAGTTTGAGAAGCACTGAGGAAGTGAACTGGTGTCTGGTTTCCCACACTGCACTACTTGTTCCTGCCCACTTTACCCAAAACCAACTGTTGCCCAAAACAAAACACCAGCACCTCCCCCACCCAAAAAAATAAAGAAAACAGGATCACTGGTGCCTCACAGGGCAGCACAAACTGTGCTGCAATCACAGAATGGATGTAAACACGTGCATATCTTGTGACTATAATAATTACTATATAATCAATTATAATAATTAGAAGTATGCATGTTCTCTGAGCTACCTCTACCCCCATCTCCTCAGAAATTTATGGTGAAGAAAAACCACCCTCAACTTCCTCCCAGCACTTTCATGTGTGCATGGCAGATATTTCGATGGAAAATGGGGCAGACAGGGAGTTATGATGAATCCCAGTTACTTCAGCTGAGGGGAATAATGACAAAACACCATTATTTGGATTACAAACCTGATGCTAAAAATAGGGTAATAACATCACTACTCAGATGACATAAAACTAGTTGGCTAAAAAAATTGCCCACACACAGATGAGAAGAAGCTTTGCTTTACTGTAACTTTAAGAATAGAAAATATCCAGAGCTCTGCTTCTTCAACCTCGGTGACTTCAGATTTGGCTTCTGACTAAAGTCAGTAGTTCAGCTCTTGGTAAACACTAAAACAAGCTGAGTTTTGTGAAGAACTCTCTGGTGCTAACTCAGACATCCTGCTCTCATCTCCTGGAACACAAATCACTGTGGGCAGGAGTTCTGTGTTACTCAGTTCCTTGTAAGCTCTTTAGCCAATTAACACTGCACATCACCTCTTCCCCACTCTGCTTAGAAAGTTTGCAACCTGCAGAAGCAGCTTATTTGGGGATGAAAACTTTTGGGATCTTGGCTACCAACATAAACCAAAATCAGCTCCTCACCCAGAAAAGAGGCTAATAAATCTTCCCTTTCAAGGAAACAGTCAATGGAAGCACATTGAATCATAATTCACTTAAAAGCCTGTTGATGGGATCTCAGTCTGCACCCACAATTACAGCTCCCAAACTGTTCTTGCTCTGGGTTTTGAGAAATAAGCTATGAGTCACCTGTGAGATCTTTTTGTGCTTAGGCAGTTTCTTCATGAAACCATCTGCTTACTCTGAGACTTCAGTGTTTTGAGAAGGAACATTTCACTCCTGACATCAAAGCATTTGACCTCTGAACCTCTGGTGCCAAGAATCTTTCAGGCAAAAAACCTGTCGTCTGGGAGCAAAATCTCTGACCTGCAATTATTTTTCTCAGAAATACACATCAGGCTGTATTCTCCTCACAGAAGGGAGGGAAGCTCTACCTCAGGATGTTTGGCAGTGCTCCCCATGCCTGATTCTCAATAAATAATCTGAGCACACAATCACCCCACCCCATGGGAGAGCTCTGGCAGGTTTTCCCCAGGAAGCACATGCAGGTAGAGCAGCAAGACTTGCTGCACATATACAGCCCATAAACAGCCCCCAGGGAATGGGGAGAGCTGCATGAACACAAAAAAAATATGCTGTAGCCCTTTATATCTGTGCTACCTCTTCTAAACAGAGCAAGAGAGGCACTTTCCTTAGACTCATAGATTTTATGGATTTTTTATCTATCCAGCCAGATGCCAATGTAGCAGAGGCCCTGAGTTGTTTTACAGTTTCTGTATCCCATGACTCCTCCGTTGTTAGTCCCCAGTTTCTCCATAGCATTCTGCAGATTTAAGATAGTGATTTTTCCAGTCAATGGAGCTACTTAGAAAACTTAAAGATAACTCGTGCCAGTCCAACCTGGCCTTGAACACTTTCAGGGATGGAGCACCTACAGTTTTTCTGGGCAACCTGTGCCAGGGCCTCATCACCCTCACAGTAGAAAATTTCATAGACATATTGTGACTAAAGAACCAAACCCCTTCAGTTCACACTGCCTGGAAAATAAGAGAGCCCTTTCAGCAAACACTTCACGGCCAGAGATTTTTTGCTGGGACATATCCTACATGAGCAAAGCTTGTAAATCCCACTTCCTATGGAATTTCCTATGTGTGGAAACAAGCACACACAACAAATCAGGGCATTTTACAGAACAGACACATAATTTTTCAATTACCCCCTTTTCTTCCCCCACCTCCAGCAGTGCTCATATTAAGTTTCATCAGCTACTATCTCATATTTTGTGTAATTCCTTACCCTGGAGGAGGGGGAGCAGCCTGGTCAAAAAATATGCCTGCATTAGTTACTGGGCTCTGAGCACTGGATCCATGCAGGTCCTCCAGGCAGATAGACAGGAAATCCACTTTCTTCCAGTGATTCCAGCAGAAGGGCTTTTTGTCTGACTGGAACTTGCCCCGGTGTGGCTGTAAAATAATCTCAGCCTGGGGCTATCACCTTTCAGGCCGTATTTGTGAGTTATGACCGGGCAGTTCCCACTGCAGTGCCAGACACAGGCAGGTGCTGCAGAGCCTCTCCCCGCCCTCCCCACACACACAAGGCCACATTGTTTTACTTTCTACGTGAAGGAAGGGTTTTCATACAGTACCAGACTTTTACACCGCTGTTCCCTTCCTCTGCACCATAATTGTTATTTTTTTTTTTTTTTTTAAGCAGGGATAAGCATCTGGTTGTCTGGGAGCTCCTTTGGGAACAGATTGCAAAAAGATAATGGGAGTGAATAACGGAGAGGATGGTGACTTCATACCATGGAGGGTTGAGTCATGTTTCTCTCTTTCCTTTTTAAAGAAGAAAACATTTTTTCAAAGCTCCCTCAATCATGCTCTGTACCTCTGGCTCCAGAGCAGGAAACAGATGTGAATTGACATTTTCTTAGAGCCTTTGATTTCTAATTCAGCCCCACACTCATACCCCATGCTAATCTGTCCCCCAGAATGCCACATGTGGAGTATTTCCTATGCTTGGGAATATATCACCAGGTAAGGGTGAGCCCAACAGTGTTACAGTGAAGTCAATCACTGGAAAGACACCAGAAAAAGGATTGTTCCTTTCAATACTCATCTCAAACATCCTTCCAGTTTTATACCTTCATCTACTTTCAATTCTATATTTCTATATTTTGACCCTTTTCTGTATATTTCAATCCTCTTCATTCTATATTTCTGTCATGAGAAATGATCAAAATAAGTGATGTAACTGTTGAGAATCTGTGCACAGTTTCCAACGCAGAAAAAGAAAACTCTATCAGATCTAATTTCATTGCTCCATCCACTTTTCTGAGCTGAGAAGGATAGACCTCTGGTCTCAGTATCAGGGTATCTAACAAATTTGGCCAGGAAATTATTTTCCAGGGAAAAGAAGTATCATTCTCCATAATAGTTATCCACAATTTTTTCTGTCTGAAACCCTAATTGAAAAGGAGATTCTGGGGAAAAGTATAGCTCAAGAACCTAAACTTCATTCAAGTGTGCATGCATCCAGTACTCTATGATTATACCTAGAAAATGGCACAAATTATAAAATAAGACCTCTTATTTAAAAGGACCAGCAGCATGGACTTGGGTCAAGCTACTTGCTGTCTTCAAGTGGCCTAAATTTAGCTGGACTGAGTTATAGCAAAGTTACATTAAATTTCTTCAAAGTATCCCAATAAAAAAAATAAATGTGTTAAAAACAGAATTAAATAACAAGATGAGAAGTTTTCTGTCCCAGGGAAACATTTCAGGCCCATCTCTCACTTGTTTATTTGCAGAAGAGAACACAGACACAACTGGGGTGTGTTTCACATTACAAGATATGAGGGTTCCTGTCTGCACTGAAGACATGTTTATACTGTTGGGTTCCATTATGAATCTGTTTTATATCCTGTGAATGCTCAGAGTCCTTTGCACACTCTAGACAGGAAACCTTTAATTCACACACTGAGAAGACATTTCCAACTATTCAAACATTAAATAAATAAGCAGGAAAAAAAGTCATTCTGCTGCAATAATTAAATTCTTCTTGTCCCTTTGCGAGATTTCTGGAAGAACAAGCCTCCCAATCCTAGCAGGGTTGTTTATAAAGTCCAAGAAAGCCATAAGAGAAAGAAACTTCCTGCAAAACCATCCAAACTCACTCTTTGGAAAACAATGCAAGGGTAATAATGTTGAATTTGTAACCTGTGTATAACTTCCAATACGAAATTGGGCTTGAATTTTCACTTTCCTTCACAGTTGCTAGGGCCAACTTGACTACTATTATTTTTAGGAGAAAAATGATCTCTCTTTTTACAGTCTCCTCTGTGCTGTGATTTCATTGTGTCTCTGCCAGGATCAAGACGAGGCGATGCCAAGAAAAAGGATGAGCTCATTGCATTTAATGGTATGAGGTTTCACAAATAAAAACTACATTACTCAACTGAGAAGTAGTCAGTGGTATACAACAGGGTTAAAGGCAGGCAGTTTTTATTGGAAACAAAAGAATTAATTAATTTCTGATCTCACTGGCCTTCCTTAGGGATGGAATTTCTGATTATTCACCATTATTGTCTTGTTATTGCACTTCTATGATAACATTAAACGAACAAGATAAACGTTATTGGTGAAACAAGTAGTGAAAGTAGCAAATTATAAGAAAGAGTCATTCAGATTTTCTTGTTTAAATCCAAGGTATAAATCTCAGCCTCTGGAATTGTGGATTCAACACTCTTTCCACACCTTGTTGATTTCTGGCATCTCATTGAGCTCAAAAATTCTTATTCCACAGAATGGTGAATCCTTCTTAATGACACTGTACTAGTTCAGAAGAGTCTCTCAAACCTGAGAGATCTATTGACCATCACCTCCACAGCAGTGCCTTTGCCACAAA